CCTTACGGCATGTTTGGCCTGCTTTCCTGTAGAATCTAGGACCATCAGCCCAGGTAAAGCACTACCCACTATGGCTTGGAACCACCCCTATCAGTCACTAATTAAGAAAATGCCCTACAGCTGGATCTTACAGAGACGTTTTGTTTTTGTTTTTTCAACTGAGGATCTCTCTTTTCAGAGGACTCTAGCTTATGTCAAGTTGACATAAGACTATCCAGGACAGTGAGTCTTCCCATCTCATTAACCTAAACAAGAGAATCCCACAGATGTGCCCAGAGGCCTGTCACCTGTGTGATTCTAGACCTCATTAACTTGACAACTGAGATTAGCAGCTCCATCTCCTATGTCGCCCTGGCTGGCTTTGAACTCACAGCCCAGAGTGCTGAGACGACTGTGGGTGGGTACTGTACCCATTGAAGAGAAATATGTCAAGATAGCGTTTTGTTTTGTTTTGATGGCTGTGCTTAGCGACATCAGGGCCTTCCTCTAAACGAGCCACCGAGCTCCACCCCCTAGCCCTTGCTCAGCCGCTTCCGAACAAAAGGGCCATCTAAGCTTTGTTTCCAGCTCTCTTTTAAAACACATTAACCAAGCTCCTTTTGTGGATTTTTGCTTTGCACTTAAGACGTGCTGAGTCACAGCAACCTCGCAGTCAAAGGATGCTTGAACTTCACTCTATGCTAAGTTTCACCAAGAACACTGCACCCGTCCACCTTGCAAGACTGGCAATGATTGGTTTATAGCCTCTAAACTTGTCACAAGCCTCTTGCTCTTTTCCGTGCTGACCGGCGGGGGGGGGGGGGGGGGGGGAGGAGCCTTCATTGTTGCTATACATTCAGAACCACCTGGGGAGTCTTCAGAAATGCTGTTGTCACCCCCAGCCTGGAGCAGGGACATTGGCATGGGTCTAGGATGGGACCTTGCAGGGTTTCTCCATGGGGACAAGGGTTCAAGAGAAGACTCGCCTCCCTCCCGCCTGAACTACTCCCGACTGGCACAGCTGGTACTCAGGTCTTTCCATCATCCTCTGCCAGATGGCACCAACATTCCCAGTGCCCCTGCTGAGGACTGGGCAGGGCTGAAAGCGAGAGACGCTAGACGAGGTGAGGATGCTCTTGTGATTCCAGTATCGGGGTGTAGAAGCTGGAGCATCAGGAGATCAAGGTCATCCTAGGCGACATGGAGAGGTGGGCAGCCAGCCTGCATTGTTTGAGGCACTGTCTTAGGGCCCTGGGCAACTGGGAAGAAGTGCCGGTCCAGTCTGGGTTGCAGTGCCAGCTCAGACATGAACCCAGTGGCTGAGCTTGGAGTGTTGCTAGATTTACCACAGAAACACACTGTTTAATGTGAACCTCAGGACCAAATAAGCCATTATTATTTTTTTTTTTAAGTAGAGATCCTAGCATATGAGAGGTAGTTACACTTGTTTAAAAAAAAAAAAAGTATTTTTGTAAATACGAAAATTGAATAAAGTCAGGAGTTCTGTTGTTTTATCTAGTGATCCTACTTGAGGGATTGTGCTCCTCTGAAATTCATATTCCACATGAGGACGGACCATCCTATGGCTTTAAATAAATGTCGCATCCTGCGTTCCTGGGAACCTTTCTTTCTAGTGCCACCAGGGGGCACCAAACTCTCCCTGATGCCACTTGGCTTGATAACTGGCTGGGTCCTGCTGGATCAGCGGGCACAGCTGGAGATCAGGTTGTAAAGGCTAACAGGGCCCAGATATGCTTAGAGACTCCAATCCAAGCAGAGAAATGCCGATCCCAGAGTCCCTGAAGACAAGACTCTGTTATCCAGATACCCACTGACAGTAATTCAGAAGAGAAGAGGTTCCCTCCCACAACTGGCTGGATGTTACATTTCCAGTCCTGTCCAGAGCCCTCTGTCTCCTTTGAGCACCTCAGTTCTTCTGTTTCCATCTGGACATATTTAGCACTCGGAGTCCTGAAGCAAAAAATAAAGCAGATACTAGGGAACCTGGTTCAGCCTAGCGGGGCTGAGACGCGCCTGAGTTTCTTCCCAAAGCACAGGTGGCCTTGAGGAAGAATGTGACAGGCAGGAGAAAAGGAGTCAAAGACAGGTCCAGACTGTGTGGATGATGGAGCTTCACAGTTGAGTGGAAAGTGGCCGATGGATGGAGGTGGTGGTGATGATGATGATGATGATGATAATTTATTGGGTTTTTTTGTGTGCCCTACACGGTAGACTGAAAGACAGAAACATCACTGCCAGGATTTTCATAGACGGGCCATGAAACTGGAATGCTGGCAAAGGCTCTAATCTGTTATACAGTGCCTGGGAGGGAAGGAGGGAGGAAGGTCTCCATTTTCCGGTTCCTTTGACCCAGCTGTCTCCCATCTCAGAGGACTGGTTACCTACTCCCTAGGAAATGGTTGAGTCTTCAGTGGTTATCCAGAGACCCACACCTCCCACAATTTTAGCCCCAAGATGATTTTAGAAAAATTTTTTGCTTGGCTTTAATTTATAGCTAATCACTTGTAATCTCTTCTTCCTTTGAACTGTGTGATTGTCAAGGGCAAGGTCTGATTTCTTTATTTGTAAGAAGCATGAGACACATCCATTCATGCATGACATTTGTTTCTCAGTGTTTGTATTTTATTGTATTTAGCTTTAAGGTCTAGCTCTAGGGTAATTGTTTTGTGTGTGTGTGTGTGTGTGTGTGTGTGTGTGTGTGTGTTGTTTTATATTTAAAATAAAGTCTCATACAGCCCAGGTGTCTTAGTTAGGGTCTATCGCTAAAGACCATTACCAAAAAGCAAGTTAGAGGGAAAAAAAAGGCTTATTTGGCCTACACTTCCACATCTCTGTTCCACCATGAAGGAAATCAGGACAGGCACTCAAGCGGGACAGGAACCTAGAAGCAGAAGCTGATGCAGAGGCCATGGAGGAGTGCTGCTTACTGGCTTGCTTTTGCTTGCTCAGCCTTTCTTATAGGATGCTCAGGGATGAACCACCCATTGACTGTCCCCTCCCCATCAATCACTAATGAAGAAACGGTCTCAGAGCTGGATCTGATAGAGGCAGCCTCTCAATTTCAGTTTCCTCCTTTCAGATAACTCTAGTTTGTGTCTCAAGTTGACATTAAGACTAACCAGGCACACCAGGCCAGCTTCCAACTCGCCTATAGGCAAGGATAAACTTGAACTTCTGATCCTCTGATTTCCACCTCTTAAAGACAAGAATTACAGTTTTGTGCCACCATGTCTGGTTTATTTGGTTCTGAACTCGAACTCAGGGCTTTGTATGTGCTAAGCAAGTGCTCAATCAACTGAGCTACAGCTGGTCTTTGTCTAGAATAAGGATACAATTTCCATTGGATATTAAGGGCTTTAGTGAGGGGGTTGTTTTATTTGTTTCGGTTTAGTTTTTAAGACAGGGTCTTGTTATGGAGATGTGGCTGGCCTCAAATTCAAGATCTTTCTGCTCCTGCCCCTACCCGCATGTGCTGGCATTACAGGGAGTAATTTGCTCCAAAGCAGCAGTACTAAACTTGTGGGTGTGACTCCTTTGGGGGTTGAATGACCCTTTCACAGGGGTCACATATCAGATATCCTGCCTATCAGATATTTACACTGTGCTGCGTAACACTAGCAAAATTACAATTATGAAGTTTCAACAACAAAAAAAATTTTTACAGTTGGGGGTCGCCACAGCATGAGAAACTGCTTTAAAGGGTCGCAGCATTAGGAAGGTTGAGAACTACTGCTTTAAGGAAGCTGGAGGACAGAGCGAGGGGGGGGGCAGGAAAGCACCATCTTTGGGCTTTGGGGTTCAGTGTATTGCACAGATGATCCAGCCCAGGCTGGCCAGGGGGCAAGGCTGCATCAACCACCCACGGGGCCAAGTTCTCGCTCTCCACTTTGCCAGAGGGAACAGGTCCACAGCTTCCACACCAGCACTCAGTCTTCATTTCCTTTGTGCACCGTTCTGTCTGAGCGGAGCTGTTCAGCTTCTGCCCTACTCGTGGCACTGGAGGAGCCTGACAAACATCAGCCAGTGAATGCAACGCTATATGGCTTTCCAAAGCCCTTTGACTGCCGAGAGTCTCAGAGACCTCCAATGGGCTGGGTTTGCACATATGCAACGCTCAGGACAAAATTGTCCAGGTCTCCCATCCCGTCCCCTCTCCCATTGCACAGACAAGAACTCCAAGGTCCAGCTAGTTTGTGCTCTAATCATTTTTAAATTGTCAGAAGAGCCTGCTGTGTGGTTCATTGTAGTGAATTCCTCAAGTGGATTTTGGGGAAAATCAGCCTGAAACATCACACTGTTATCATAAGCTTTGTAAAGTGTTCTATGGCATTTGAAAGCCATTATTTTATTATTACTATTATTATTATTGAGACAGGGTCTCACTATGCAGCATTAGCTGGCCTATAACAATATAGACCAGGCTGGCTCAGACTTGCAGAGATCTGCCTGCGTCTGCCTCTCGAGTACCAAGGTTAAAGGTGTGTGCCACTATACTCCGCTACCCAGAACTTTATGTGAAGAAAATGAATCCTATTCCACGAGGTGAAACACAGATGGGTCTCAGGCACTTGATATGTGGCTTAGGAACTAATCCCACCTGACCCCTGTAAAGCCTCATGTAGCCCAGTTCACTATGTAGCTGAGGATGACTTTGAACTTTTTTTTAATCATGCCTCCACCTCCTCATACTACAGGCATTCACCACCACGCCCAGTTTATGCCGTGCTGGGGAATACAAACCCGGGGCTTGAGTGCTTACTGGGCAAGCACTTTACCAGCTGAGCTACAGCCCATCCCAGGAACTGAGTTCCTCCTTTGTCTCATTAGTGCTCACAGGAGTGTAAGAGCCATAGTTCCCCTATGTATGAGCGAGCACATAAGTGCATATAAAAGCATGATAGCGTGTGCAGGTGCGTACAGATATGCCCATGTTTGTACACACCTGAAAGCAAAGCATCCGAGACTAAGACACACACACACACACACCATCACTCAGGACGGCGCTTTCTAAGTCGTTACTTTTTATTTTGAAAGATCTGTCAAGCTCTGCACACTGTCGTGAGAGTTTGCATGGTTAATGAGAAGCAGCTTTTCCATGAAATGTTTGGAGGTGAACAAATTCTCAGCCTGTGAGATCCGACCATTCTGTTGGCTTGGAAGTTTCTCTTGATTAGTAGAAGGTTTTAAAGTAGCGGAGGTGAGGTGAGGGGGGCGGGGGTGGGGCACGCATACTAGAAACGATATGACAGCCATGTGGATGGGAAAATCAACCCAATTCACCAGCCTCACTTTCTCTACATTACAACTTTCTTTGTCTTCCTCTTGAGTCTCACTTTCCTGAAACAGCCCTCCCGCTGTCAGAAAGAAGCCTGAAAGCCCGTTAGCAGTTGAGCAGGAGAATCCCACGTGATGTTCTGGGCCACCCATGGCTCCCGTGGCTTGCCAGATTTTAAACCAACAGCCAAACATGGAGGGAAGCTGCCTGAAGAGTGGAGGAGACAGCGAGGGCCTGGGCTGCTGGGAATCTGCTTGTCCATATCACAGCTCCAGATGATTCTATCCGTTGATGACATAGGCGACCAAGACGTGCCATCTGGGTCCTGACTGCCGGGTCCTCAGGTCTCACGGCAACCTCGGCCAGACTTTGTATCGGTATCTCTAACTTCCCTTTGCCCACCTGCAAATCACCCAGGGTAGCCCACCCACACCGGGAAATGAAATAAGCAAAGGTGTTGGACAGGGCGAGTGCTAAGAGTCAAGTGGAAAATAGAAATGAAAGCTAAGAGATACTTCATGCTTGCGTAAGGCAAGGTTGTGCAACACAGCCAGTGAGACACTGGGCAGTGCAGGGAACAAGGGGGCTGTGGACGGGCCACAGCCTCAGAGTCGAGTTATGTGGGAAAAGGCCGTGACTTGGGTTATAGTCTCCTTTACTTTTTCTTTTTTTTTTTCTTTTTTTTTTTTTTAGCACCGTTAATGAAATTCAGTTAAATCTATGTTAGCACCTTATCCCCAGGCAGAAGAGCCAACCATCCAAACATTTTAAACAAGGGGGGAATGGAAGGGGTGGAGGGAAAAAAAAAACGAGGGACGGAAGCAGGAGGTTTGAGCTTAGATCACCAGATCCTTGTTGATGTCCTCTGCAAAGGAAGAAGAGGCGGAGTTAAAATAAGGCTCGGCCACCTGAAGGCAGAAGGGGGAGGGTGCTGGTTGGGAAGAGGAAGGGAGACAGTGGGAGGGAGAGAGAAATCGAGAGGGAGAGAGAGAGAGAGAGAGAGAGAGAGAGAGAGAGAGAGAGAATGTAATGAGCCAGGAAGATGCCCAAAATATACGATTCGAATGTATTAGGATGTCATAATGAAATCTGTTATTGTGCATAATCACTACATGATAATAAAACAGAGGCCGGGTGTCCATCTTAGGGTCTGTTGGATTCCCTCCCAGATTCAGGGGCCAGTGACCAGTCAAGGTCACTGAGAAGTGACTAACTGGGACCTTGATCTCTCTGACTCTGGCCTATCTCCATCTCTTGAACTTCTTGCCAAGCTGCACTTCCTGTTTCCTCTCCCCAGGCAGCCAGTTCCCAAAATAGTGCTTGTACGGAGTGAGGACCAATGTCTGAGGTCCAGGAAAGAGACCCTCAGGGCACAAAGACAGAGAGAGCAGAGCTGAGTTAAACAGGCAAAGGAGACAGACAGAAAGTACAGACAAACACCAGGCAGGTGGGAAGGGACAACATCCCGGCCCTCAGGGCCGTGCCTTCACCCCTGAACCCCGACACTCACGCTCCTTGATGCCAAAGCAGCCGGCCCACTCCTCCAGGGCAATGTACTTGTCATTGTCTAGGTCACAGGTCTCGAAGAAGCGTGTGGTGCAATGTTCCATGGGGATGAGGGGAGCGCGCAGCGGGGCCAGCTCAGTGTGGGACAGGTACCTGACAGGGAAGAGTTCGGAAGGGTGTGAGCATGGCACAGCCTACAGCTCAGTATGGGAAGCCAGTGGGAGCCCAGGGCTGGGACCCTGGCTTTACCCGCAGCCCTGCCATGGATCTACAATAGGATCCACAGCACCACACTGCCCTCCTCTGAGCCTCAGGTTCCTGCTCCATCTGCGAGGAGAAAGGCTAGGCTGCTCCAGTTCTGAGTCCATGGGCTTCATAGTAAGGGACACTTGGTTGAGGGCTGGGGACATAGAAACAGTATATTCAGCACCTCAGGTATAATAAGTCAAAGTCCAGTGAGATCACAATATAGATTTTCTTTCCTTTTGGGGGTGGGTAGGAGCAGGTGGAGGAGTGGGAGCTGAAGACATGGTTTCTCTTTGCAGCCCTGGCTGTCCTAGAACTCACTCTGTAGACCAGGGTGGCCTCAAACTCACAGAGATCCGCTTGCCTCTGCCTCTTGAGTGCTGGGTTTACAGGCCTGCACCACTACCACCCAGAAACACTATAGACGTCCAATATTCACACACAGACGTAACTGCAGGCGCCTAGAAAAGGATCTACAAAGAGATCCGTCAGTCTTGTATTAGGGCTAGGCTATAGCTCAGCAGTGGACTAGAATCTCCCATTGAGAATCACCAGTAAAGGATTGGGGGACACAGCTCAGTGGCAGAGTGAGTAGAATCCTCCAGTAAGGGGCTGGAGTGTGGGGTGGCTCAGTGATAGAGCACCTTCCCAGAATCCCCTAGTGAGAGCCTTGCCTAGCATGTTCCAGGCCCTGAGTTTCATCTGCAGCGCTAAAAAATAAGAAGTAAGTGAACAATAAAATCTGGTGATGGCTCTGACTTCTGGGCTGATCCAAGCCTGTCTGAGTTGTCCTCTCTATACCATTCAACGAATGGCTGACTTCAGGGTTGCCCTCTGGAGTCCGTCCCACTGTCCTCCACCCTGTCTTCCCTGCTGGCCTCGGACTCCAGAGCATCACCACTGCTTCTTTTCCTTTTCTTTCCCCAGAACCCCAATTAGTTGTCCCCAGAACACTATGACCCATGAGGGGCTTCAGGGGACACCATGACTCCAACGTTCTTCACAGCTTCCTGCTTACAGGAGGGTCTCACAGAATCTGAACTGGCCGGGACCTTCCTTCACTGTCCTGTGAGAAAACAGACTCGGGCAGCTGCAGGGCCACCAACAACTCTGACTAAGAGGAGGCTGGAGCATTTTCCCAGCCATCCAGCCCCAACAATCCACCTAGAACTTTCTCTAGGCCACTTGGCTCATGGGATCCAGAAGTCCCCCAGGGCTCTCCCCACCATGCCCCCCGTCACTCAATTGGATCCCAGCCACTGCTAGCTAGAGCTTGGGAGAGGAGCAGCTGAGAGCTTCCCAGAGCCTAGGAGAGCCAGGCACTGGGGGTTGGGGCGGAAGATGGGGTTGGCCAGCGGGGTAGGCAATGTCCTGGTGCACAGCCAGACCCGGGGAGCAAATGAACATCTCAGAGGAGCCTTCCTATCTCTCTCCCACATATGCCAGCAGGGCAGCCCTGCCTGTCTCCTGAGTGACCACCTGTTCCCGGGATTCAAAGCAAAGAGCAGAAATAGCTCTGGGACAGAGTGAGTGAGTTGCCTCTTTGGGAGCTAAACAGGGCCTCTTGCTCTCGTGGCTGCAAAAGGAGGTCAGAAGTGACAGCAGAGATGGGTGCACAGTGTCAGCTCAAGCACTGCTCTTCAGACTCCCTGCAGTCTCCGTAATGCCCAGACTACATGCAAGAGGAATTTGTGACATAAAAGCCGTTGACTGAAATTCTTAGGAACTCCTGGGGCCAGGTGGGCTCCATGGAACTGAGCCTCAGGATGGATGTGGGACACGGCTGTTGGGATGGCTGCCCTATTCTGCGGAAGGATCATGAGCAAGCATGAACAAGGCATGAGCAAGGCTCTGTGCCTTGGCCCGGAGTCTCTTCCTGAACTCTCTCTACCCACATGGGTCCCCTGCCCCCGCCTTCACAGGCGTAGGAAGAATTCTTTGTACTGTTGATTCCTTCCTCGGACATTAGACGGTCACAGAGCTTGCCTCCTCCAGGGCTTTCCTCTTCCCTCTGGATATTTGTTCCATCTGCTCCAGCTCTAAGATGACCCTGGAGTCTTGGGCCGGTCGGAGATTGCTGAGGGCCTTCTAGCCTCATCCAGTGCCTCTACCAGCCTCAGCCCAGGACAGAGATGAGCCTATGGTCCTGAGGACCCCAGCTCTTACCCATCAATGGGGTGCTGGTCCAGCTGGCCAAACTGCCAGTGGACAGGGAAGATGTACATGTTGTAATTCTTCTCAAAGTCTCGGGCCAGCAGCTCCACGGGGTGGTCCCCAGCCTCCAGGCGCTTCTCATTCTCATGGATCTTCTTCACCTGTAGGGGTTGAATCATCAGGTAACCAAGGGTCCAGGCTCCCTCCCACCTGTGACGAGAGGCCACCCAAGACCAGGGCTCATAATGAAGAGGAAGAGAGCTTGTCCACAGATGGGGAGGCCACAGCGCCTCCTGCCAACACTACCTAAGGAGGCTTTCAAAGAGGCTAAGAACTCAACGTTAGGTCTCTGCCATAGGACTACATATGCACGCTAAAGGAGAAGGCTGTTGACTCAGATATAGAAGGAATAAACAGGGTTATGATTTGCGTCTGTCTACTGCAGACCTTCTCAGAGCCTCCAAAGGCAGCCAGAAGTTTGTGTCCTGGTATCCAGGGTGAAGGCACGCTACAACGTGGGGCCTACGCCACCTTGGGGCCTGGCTCTAGGGATTGTCCCTAGATCTTTATCGGCAGGGTCGAGAGAGGCCAATAGCAGGCACAATGGTCCAGGCTGGGAGGAAACCACTTACACGCAGCTTCTGCTTCTCAGTGAGGAGGTTGTTGCCCTCATCTCTCTCGTACAAGGTGACCAGGACGTTTTTGAGCCAGTCGCGCATGCGCAGAGGGAACTCGGTCAGCTCGGAGTCCAGGCAGGGGGCGATGTCTAGGGCACAGAAGACAAGATTCTTCAACTTAGATCTGCCAGAGGGCAGACACACCACCCAGCTACTCTCTCCTCCTTGTCTTACTCCCCACAGGCACTCCACTGGGCAACCTTGGCCGTGGTGCCTGTGTCTCTCTGAGCCAGACTCTTCCCAGCTTGATAAATAAAGAAGACTGCACGGGGAAACCGCAGGGCATTGCCGCTTCCTGGCGTGCACCTAACCTGCTGAGGGGTACCGCCACCCCATACGCTCTTGCATCTTTCTAGGCAGCGGGAAGGGTGTGATCCCGGCAGAACCGGAAGCCAACCCCTGGGAGGTGTTTGAGACAACCTGTATCCTTCGGTCCAGCATAGCAGCAGTGGGGAGAAGGCTCCAGAATGTGCAACCCCCAGAACCTATTCAGAGCTGATTAGCTCAGCCTTGTCATTAGAACATAGCACCGCAGCATGTCACACCTGAAGATTTCCTCCAGCCTCTCCTGTCGTCGGACTCAGTGGTGGGCAAGAGAAGGCTCTTGCTTGCAGCTAGATTATCAGAGCACCAGCCTGGATCCCGTTAGCGTGGATACCTGGTGGATCTGACCCCTGATTGTCCTTGGCTTTGAACCCAAAGAATGCCCCTCTGTGGCTAAGAGCACTGCCATCTGGAAGTGTAGAGCCCCCACGGAGCCCCACACTAAGCTGGACTTGGGAGATGGGTGTCCTCAGAGGCAGCAACGGCCGCTTGCTAAGGGCTCCTTGGAACGTGTCTCGCCTCATACATAGCCCAAGACGCCTCCTGTCTTTTCTAAGGCTCTCTAATCTATGCCTTTCTTTGAACATCCCAGCCCCATCATTAAGAGCTCAGGGCTAACCATTGGAGCATTTGTTTCCTGCCCTCACTTCCTACAGCTGAAAACCTCAGGCAGGGGAGGAGCCCTCTTTTGTTTTAGCTTGGTTCCGTTTGGCTTGCAGTGCTGGGGATGGGATGCAGGCGCTTGGGCACAACACGTAGCTCTAGCCTCAGCCCACGGGGAAGGATGCTCTCCTTGTGTAGAATATGCCACAGATACACAGCCCATGCTGTCTCATAGGCGATGAATACGACTTGGAAGGCTCAGGTGATAAGGAGACCCTAGAGCTAACAAAATTTGCAGCTTGGGTCACTAACAATGGGCCAGTCAGAGCCCCTGGTATCCCCCTTCAAACTCCTCAGGCTTCTAGAAAAGGGGGACAGGGAGTATGACGGAATGAGGAATGATGTATCTGTGCTAATGTGGTATGTATGTGTGCTCACAGCCATGTGTGCATTTGTACATGTATGGAGGGCAGAGGTCAACCGCAGATATTCCTCCTCAGGGGTCATCTAACTTATTTTTGGGACATGCTCTTTCACTGGCCTGTGCTCACTCATTAAGCTGAGTTGGCTAGCCAGTGAGCCCTAGGAATCTCTCAGGCTCCATCTCCTGGCACTGGCAGTACAAACGTGGGCTACCACACCCAGCCTTTTCACGTAGGCCTTTACCACTGAGCCATCTCCTCAGCTCCTCAGCTATGGATTTGAAAATTCAAAGATTTTTACAGTGTTAGAGCGGGAAAGATTTGAGTTAGTCTTATGAAAGAACATCCTCATTACCAGACAAAGATTGAGAGAGAGAGAGACAGACAGACAGACAGACAGACAGACAGACAGGTGGTTTCGTTGTCTTGATGCTCTTGATGCTAGTGGAAGTCTCTGGCAATCCTCTCTAAAATGTGCCTCCATGATGGCTAAATCTTCCCAGGAAATAGGACGGCCTGAATCCATTTTATGAATGAATGCACTGAGGCTCATCGAGGGGATGAGATTTACCCTAGATCAGTGAGGGCATAGAGCCATCTCCCAGGAAAGGAGGCAGGAAGGTGTGAGGACACTCACATTTGCATGGCCCGATGTAGTCCAGGTGGAGCTTGTGGCCCTTCTTGGTGCCCTCCAGGGTGCACTTGGTAGCAAAGAAGTGGCAGGAGGAATCGAAGGTCTTGTTGTCATTGCTGCACACCTGTTGGCCAAGCACAGGACACCTCGCCTTCAGTCCCAAAGCCACTTTAGAGAGAGGAACACGGGGACCACACCAGTGAGGACAGCCACGGTCTCACTCACACAGTAAATCAGAGATTGCAGAACAGAAGCCCACTCTAGATCCTACTGTCCCACCGCATGAGGGCCATGGGTGATTTTGACGCCGGGGAATCCGAGTCTGGGCTAGGACAGGAAAGGTACTTTAAAGACAGTGAAAGATAGGGCTGTGGAAGAGACACCTGTAAATGGAGAGAAGTACACAGTACTCCAAGAACCATTATCCTTCTGAAAGACTCAGTGAGGCAGCTATGATGACTCAGAGTAAAGACACTGAAGCCAGGTGTGGTGGCACACACATTTAATCCCAGCCCTCAGGGGGCAGAGGCATGTGGATCTCTGCCAGTTCAAGGCCAGCCTGGTCTACAAAGCAAGTTCCAGGTCCACCATGGCTACACAGAGAAACCCCGTCTCATGAAACAAACAAAGCTTGCCACCAAACTTAATGACATCCCTGAGCTCCACATGATAGAAGAGAACTGACTCCTAACACAAACCATGATATACACACAAATACAGACACACACACACAAATAAATAAAGGAAGGAAGAAAGAAAAGAAAAAGAAGGGAAGAAAGGAAAGAAAGAAGAAAGGGAGGAAAGGAAAAATGCAGCATAAGGTGGCCCTGACCTCATGCTAATGACAGTTCCCTAGTTGGCAAGGATGCTCACTGAACGTGGGCTGCTTGCAGAGGATGCTTTAGACAGAGTACCCATGCTTCTAGTGGGAGTCCAGAATTGGTCCACACTCCGCAGAAGGCAGCTATGGGACCAGTGTCTGGTGAAGACATTTTTGCAGCACCAGCACTAAAGAGCTTTGTGCATGCTAGGTAGGTGCTCTATCACTAATCAAAATCCTTATCCCTTTATTGCTTTATTTTAAGACACCATCTTACTATGTTGGCCAGGATGACATTAAACCATACTGTGTAGCAGAGCCAAGCCTTGAACTTTCAACTTTCCTCTTATTTGCCTTCCTGTACCAGGGATGATGGGCCTGAACCACCAAGGTTTGCCCAAATAAAACTGTCAGGCCAGTGAGATAGCTCAGCAGGTAAAGGTACCTCCAGAGGGCTTCCCTAAACAGGATCATCAATGCTCCATGTTTGGAACTGGGGTAACAGTGATCTTTGTGTAACTCTCCTAGATGAAGACTCCCCTCGATGCTTCAGCCTTTCTCTCTGCTTCCCGTGTGATCCAGATGACTATCCAGAATATGGTCTGGGGTGAACCTCAGCTGGGCCAACTGACTCACTGAGTTCTGCCGGAAAACCTCTGGTTACAGAGAAACCAAACAGAGAGACTGAGAGCAGGGCCATGGGTAGGAGCAGCCTTTGATAGGGGAAGGACCCGACTTGCAAGTGTGAAGTCAGTAAAGGCTTACACATTGCTGTAGGGGAGACTGCAACACCAGAGCACAGTGGGTGGGGAGAAAGAGGGGAGAGTTAAAAGTGAAACTAATATTTGAAGCACAGAGGCAAGGGTTGTCTTGGGGGCATATTGAAAAATGCACAGCTAGATTGAAAGAACTGGAACAACACTGGTACCAATTTGCTGCCCTGTGCCAGATGGTCACTAGCACAATGGTTGGCACAAGTGAGTGTTCAAAAAATATCTGTTTGAGTGGATGGGTAGATGAGTATGTAGATGGATGGATGGATGGATGGATGGATAGATAGATGAATATATGGATGGGTGGGTGGATGGATGGATGAGTGGATGGATGGATTTGTGGATGGATGAGTGGGTAGATGGATTAGTGGATGGATGAATGGGTAGGTGGGTGGATGGATTTGTGGGTAGATGGATTAGTGGATGAGTGGGTGGGTGGATGGATTACTGGATGGATGAGTGGATGGATGGATTTGTGGATGGATGAATGGATGAGTGAGTAGATGGGTTAGTGGATGGATAAATGGGTAGGTGGATGAATGGATAGATGAATATATGGATGGGTGGGTGGATGGATGGATGAGTGGGTAGATGGATGGGTGGATGAGTGAGTGGGTGGATGGATTACTGGATGGATGGATGGATGGATGGATGGATGGATGGATGATGGATGGATGGATGGGTAGATGGATTAGTGGATGGATGGATGG